CAGCTAATGGTTTTATCATTTTTCTCATGTCTACACTGGAGCTGTTGTAAGGATGCAGTTGGTCATGTTCTGGGAGGGGCTCAGAGTTTTTTGGATTGTCCACATAAGCCATTCTGACTCTCAGGCTGTGTTTTCTGGATTACAGGCCCTGAAGAGCAGACTCAGCAGCCTGCCCAATGTGAAGAAGTTCCTACAGCCTGGCAGTCAGAGAAAGCTTCCCATTGATGCAAAGCAACTCGAAGAGGCTAGGAAGATTTTCAAATTCTAGGATAGCTGCATTGAGAGAGCCCACAGACACCAGTCTCTGGGGTTTTTAAATAATAAACAGCAATTGTTCATCCTGGTATTTGAGAAAATGAACATGAACAAGGGATATATGCATGGCATGTGTTCAAGTTGTTGACCTGGGATTGCAGGATCACATTCCAAGAAGGCAACTAATAATCATTACAAATAAGAGCAAACGTTGTACAAATGAGGAAAACCTAAGTAAAAAGAACACTGACAAGAGAAAAGACTAACTTTGTACACTCAGTGTCTCAGCAGGTCTCTGTCATGCTGATCCCTTTTCTCAGCTCTGACTTCTCAGCACTGTGCTTCCCTTTCCACAACCCCCACCATGCTGTCCTCCATCCCCCAGTGACTCCATCCTTATCTCCAGGTTGAAAACTGGAGTCACTTTTCTCAGCTCTGACTAACACCCATTGTAGTGACTAACATCGTTGTAGAATGAGCCACATTTAAAGGTAACATTAATTACAAGACAGAGAAATAAAAATGAAAAAAATAGAATAAAAAATAAAGAAAAAATTTGAGGTCTAAAAAAGAGTGCAATTACAGGAGAAGGAATTGGATAACTAGTGTAAAGATATTTTAAAGAAAGACAAAATACCAGAGACAACAAAATTAAATATTTAAAATAGTGAGGGTGAATCTGGAGCGCAGGCTCACAAGTTACACGCACTGGTTTTTCTTGGAAAGGACCAGGTTAGGTGCCCAGCATCTCCATGACATCTCACAACCAACTGTAACTCCAGCTCCGTAGCACCTGATGTCATCTTCAGACCTTTGTGGTCATTGTTCACCCATGAGATACATACATATATATAGTCAAAATATCTCAACATGTAAAACAAAAATTTAAAAATATTTTAATAGTAAAAATAGAGAGCAAAATACACATTCAAGCAAAATAACAATAACAGAAAATATCTTTGAAATGTTTGTTTTTATCTGGATGTGGTGGCACATGCCTTTAATCGCAGCACTTGGGAAGCAGAGCTACATGGATCTCTGTGAGTTCAAGGCCATCCTGATCTACATAGTGAGTTCCAGGACAACTAGAGCTACAGAATAGTGATGCCTGTCTCAAATGAAAAAAATAAAGGATAAATAAATTCTGTCCTTGCCCCACTGGAATCTGATGATTTCATCTTTTCCTTGTAAACCTCAAATCTCTAGAGCCAGTCCTGTCCTGAATATCTTGTGTTGAGGTCTAGCCTGGTGGGTCTGCCTAATCCTACTCTCTGCATACCTTCCCCCTCCGTCTGATCCAGCCTGGGCTCCACACCCATTGCCCTGCTGAGCTCCACTTACACTGTCATCAACCTCTAGCTCAGGCCAGGATGCACATCTTACACACAGGTCCAGGTTCTCCCCTCAACTGTGGGAGACACAGAGATTCTTGTGGTCACAGACAAGCACTAGGGGGACTAGGAAAGCTAAACACATAGGATTGTCCTATCAAAGAGAGTGATGTATTAACTCTTTCCCTTCCAGGGGTCTGGGAATGAATATGGCTAAGAGCCTGGTGACCTTTGAGCTATCTTAGTATCAAAGACTACACTGGATCCTCTACCAGATCTTCATCATGAGCTGTCAATCTATAGAATCCATCTTTATGGAAGATGTCATGTGTACCTTATAAAGAATTCTGGTGTAGTCATGTCTTAAGTTTTATTGCGCATATAGGATATGGTAGAATTCTTTAAAGCCTAATTCTAGGTAGCCTTAGGAAAATGTATCTTAATTATTTTTGAACCTGTATTCACCTTGTTTTTTCAAATATCTTAAGTTATATTTTCTTTTTCAGAGCTGCTT